GTGATTGAATGCCTTTTTTCTGCCCAGTTTATCCTAAATGCTTCATCTGTTTCCATTTAATTTAAAAATAACTGTGGGCAAGTCTTGTTCTATTCATTTTTCGGGTCAGGTAGCAGAGCTGGTACAGCAATTCAGGGTCTCAAAGCACTAAGTTCCTTTTACCTTCTCTGTCCACCTTATTGGTGGACACTGCTCTTCCAGCACTGTGACTATGTTTAAGCAGGAAGCAGCAGATGAGGCAGTACCAGCAAACTCCCACTTACTTTTTATGAGGAAGCTTCAAAATATTGCTGAGACAATTCCATGACCTTTTCGTCCCATTTTCCATCAACTTTTGAAGCCCCCTCCTATTGACTAGCTCTAAGTGGTGTGTCAGTCAGAATTCTCGATTACAAATAACAGGGTTCACTCCTGCACTAAATTCGCAGAACTAATCGAGTTAGTTCTGATGCATCGCAACCCCGTAGGAGAGCAGAAACCTGCCCCTGTGGGTTTCTGAGGCTGTAACTCTTTATGGGACGGCAAAGTCCCATTGTCCTCCCACGGATGGGTTTCACCAGTAGGTTTGAACTGCTGACCTAGTGGTTAGCAGCCCAACACGTAGCCCCCTACACCACCAGGCAGCTAGAATTCACTCTAGCTTGTTTAAACAAAATGAGGTTTTATTTGTTGTTGTTGATGATTTTTAAATCATTGGTGGAGCAGAACACTGAGTCACAATACAAGCAAGCTATCGAGGAGCTGTTGTCTCTTCCACAATCAAGAAATGGCTGAGTTAAGAAGTCACATTCTCCAACAGGAAACCAGGGTGACAACTGTCAACTCCAGCCTCCCGCTACAGCTCTCTGAGCCAGCAAGCAACTCCATCAGAAGGCAACCACAGCAGTGGCGAGTTACCAGATCGCGCCACTCCTTCAGAGACCCGTGGCAGCCAAAGAGCTGCTCCACAGCCTCCTTATTCTGCCCACCTACCTCATTTCCTAAAGGCTCGTGGCCCTCAAGCCATGTGACTCCATTCTGGGACCAACTTTCCACTGAACAAGAAAGGGGCCTATAAAATGACCCAACAACACCTGTGAGGCATGTACTTCTCAGAACAATCAATCATATGAAACCAACAGGGGCTTTGTTTTGGTTTAGTTTGGTTTGGTTTGGGGGAGTGTTTGTTTGTTTGTTTGTTTGTTTGTTTGTTTGTTTGTTTGTTTTCAAAAACAAACCTCAGAAGGCAGGAGGGGCAGGAAAGGAGACTGGAAACAGGGATGCCAGGATGGGGAGAGTCCTGTTACCTTGAGGAAAATGCAAAGTATGTGATGAAATAAGCTGGGTATAAATCATGGAATGAGAAAATGATGTACTGTGTAGGCTTTCCCCCAAGCCACAATAAAATATTCAAAATAAATAAGTCCTATCTGGAACCCTGACTACAAGCGTTCTCTAGCTATATGCTGAGTGGTTTAGCTTTCCAATCTCTATAGTAGAGGTAGGCAATAGATAGATATGTGGGACCCTATGTTGACTGTGTCCAACAATAGTCTTAGCCACTGTACTCTGGAAAGTCAAGACAGCGGGCATATGGCCAAGCCAGCCTTTCCCTCTACCATCCTCAGACAGACCACCCCATGTGTATTATCTCATTTAATCCTCACCTCAGCTCTTCCATTGTTACTATCCTTACCTTATAGATAGGGAAACTGAGGCTCATACAGGTTAAAGAACTTGCTGAAAGGTGGCAGCATCAAGGTTTGAACCAAGATTGAACGATTGAATTTGCAATTTGTGAATTAGATGCCAAGTAAACTGTTTACAATGTATGAATCAAGATCGATGTTCCTCTCTTCTGATATGGTAGAATTCACGTATTTGCTTTGTAGAAACTAAACATCAACAATGGATTCCCCTCTTCTCCTTGCAGTTCCCTAACTATGATTCACTACTGACTTTCAAAATAGCTGAATAGGCCTGATGTTCTCATTGCATCTCCACCTCTGCTCCAGCAATTTTCCTAATGGCTTGAGTCGCTTGATCCTATGAACCCCCTGAGAAGCCCGTTGACATGCATCTCAGGATTCTGTGTCTGGGGTGAGAAAGGAGAGAGGATTTATTCATCAGCTTATGCCCACTTATCAAAGGCACTAGGAACATTACTGTATGTCCCAGTTACCTGCTGTTGGTAGAACAGAAATACTACAGGTGCGTGTCTTTAACTGCAAACATTTATTTTCTCACAGTTTAAAAGGCTGGAAGTCCAAATTCAAGCCTCTGTCTGCTGGCTCTAGGAGAAGGGCTTCGTCTTTGCTTATATTCTGCTCCTTGGTGATCTTGGTGGTGTGATATCTATCTTGGTCCACCTGCTTGCTTAACCTGCTCCATTTATCCCTCAGAGGTGTCCTGGTAGTAGAGTGGTCAAAGCCTGGGCAGCAAACAAAAACTCAGTGGTTCTAACCCACCAGTCACTCTACAGGAGCTTCCAAAGACATTTGAAGTCTTCAAAACCCTATGGGGTATCCGACCCTGACCTGTGTATGGTCATTTTGAATTGGAATGGACTCAGGGGCAAAGGATATACACATACATATGGACTCAAGGGCAAAGGATATACATACAGACATCCAAATATATATATTTGGATTTATAATATATATTATATGGAATATACTTCTATATCAAAAGAAATCCACTCAAGGCATACCCTGCAGTAGCAATACTTCAATAACCTAACGAGAAAACCCATTCCCAAATGGAATTATAAGTATAGGGGTTAAGTTGAAACACACATTTGGGAGTATACAATTCAATCCATGCCCTTTCCCTATATGCCTGGCTACCCAAATCTGGCCATCTTTAAGGCCCAAATCAACTGTTGCCTTGTCGGGAAGACTTCTCTAGTCTCCTTGCTAAAACATAACCTCACCTTTACTGAAAACCCCATGTATTTTCTTCATTCCTCCCTTCAAACATTTCCCACCCTCAGAGAATAACCCCTTCTACACAGGTGGCTTCAGAAAGTTTGTGGAAAAACACAATGAAAAGATAATGGAAATTTTCCATGAACTTTTAAACAGCCCCTTAAAACATGGGTTTGGTTTTTGTTTGTTTTTTTATATCACATTTCTGTGTCCCTTAAAACTCCCAGAAGAGTGCTTGGGTGTGGTCATGGTCATTTAAAAAACCAAACACTATGGAATTGTTAGGTTTCTCGGGTGGGAAATACCTCGGGTCTTGGCTTCCCACGAGAATTCACACCGAAGCCCGGTTTGTGATCCAAGTGGGTTTTATAAAGGACAGAAGAAGTTTCAGGTTTTACAGTCACTGAACACAGGCAACCTCATGGGCCTGCACACCCACGTGACAGCGTGAGGCCAGAGAGAGCCACACGGCGGAAGAGCAAGGCAGAGGAGCAGCTGAAAAGGGAGCGGTGGTCTGAAAGTTCTGGCCTTCGGGGCCTTCGTCTGGGAGGCGTGGTCAACAGTACTAGTTGACAGCATTGGCTGAATTAAGCCCACCTGGCCTAGTTTGGGCCAACCCGGGTGTATGGCCCACCTGGCTCCGGCTTGAATTGGTGCATGCCCCTTAGCCTTTATTGGCTTCCATCTTCCTGTAGAGGGCCTTGGTATGTAGAGGATCAACCCCTGGTTCCTGTGTCTGGCTACCGAACGGAATGTGATAAGAGCTGTAAGAGTTCCCAATAAAATGATTTCAAACAAACTCACTGCCATGAGCTGTTTCCTACTCGTGGGACCCTCTAGGACGGGGTGGAACTGCCCTGGGAATTTCTAGATCGTCACTCTTGATGGGAGTAGAAAGCCATCGTTCTCTGAGCAGCTGGTCATTAATCGGTGAGTGAATGAGCAGTGAGGTGCTCGCTCTCTCTCTCCTCTTCCTGTGTTTGAAATGAACTTGTAAGTCCCTAAAGACTCCATGTGCACTTCAGTCTTACTTTTCCTCCTTTTGCAGCTGCTCAGACCAGTGTTACATCTGAGGGACAAGGAGTCTGGAGGGTGAAGTGCTCTCCTCTTTAAAAAAGATTGAATAATATGGAGGTCAGCAAGTGCAAATTAATTGTTGTTGTCTCCTTGGGTTTTAATGAGTGAGACTGTTCTTCATGACTTCCACATATTGCTTGTCAATGTTGCACTGCTAACTGCATGGTGGGGAGTCAAACCCACCAGCCGCGCCTTGGGACAAAGATGGGGCTATCTACTCCCATAAAGATGTATAGTCTCGAAAACTCTATAGAAGGTCGCTATGAATCTGAATCAACTCAATGGCGATGGGTTTGAGGTTTTATTGCTTGGAGTTTTTGTACTAGTGACTGTCATACAGCAGCATATTCTTTACATAGTTGATTGTTTTTGTGGCTTTTAACATCTTTTTATTTTAATGAACCCAAAAGAAGAAAAATGAATTCATGGCCTCTTTGGAACAATAAGGATCATTTTTCTAGTAGTGTAGACATGTACCGTAGGTTCCTCGGGTCACCAGCTGGGCCACTCAACTGTTCCACTCTCCTGGTGTTTGAACCCAGCCCTTGGCACCAAGAGAGTCCTGGTGAAATCTCCATCTATCGGGCTTACAGCCCAGGGAACCTTCTGGAACTCAGTTCTACTCTGTAACGCATGGGCCCCCCATGAAACAGAACTGGCTGGGTTTTGCATGTTTCCTTTTTAATCATTCACCAGACTAAAAGAGTGGCACAAGTGGCAAAAGTGGCAAGACGAAGGGGTCTCATTCAATTCCTGGGTAACTTCCATCAGGGCCAGCCAGTCCTTCAGGGCCAGCCTCCCCAGGTACTGCTGGAAACGTCCCCAAACACCGAGCCGCCCAGGAGCCGCCCAGGAGCCGCCCAGGCAGGTTCTCTCCTGCTGGGTGGCTAATGGAGCTTGTAGGCCAGCCCGCTTCCTCCTGGTTGCCAGGGAAACAGCCTGCGCTGCTGGCCCTCTGGAAACAGAAAGGAACAGCAAGTGCAAGGCCACGCATTCCACCCTGCCTGCAGATTAAACTCGCTGTCGGGCCAGGGTGAGGGATCGGTGGCCAGGCAAAGGTCTGCGTAGCGGAGAGAGATGAGCCCCGAGCTGGAACCCAGGATGTAAGTAATTTATCCACCCTTCTTTCTAGAAACGCATGTTATCTTAAAAACTGAGAAACGTCGGTGTTTCTGCTGCATGGCAGGCAGGTCTGTGACAGTTTTAGGAGCCACTGTTGAGGTCACCTCCCTCTTACAGTCTTTGCACTTCATAATGTACACTTACGGGTTTGGTTTGGTTTTTAACCACAAAACACCTTTTTTGCAGGCGTCCAGGCATATAGACTGTTCTTTATAGAGGTGTTTGCCTTTAAAAGGAAACATTTCTCGGTGCGGTGAGCAAACAGTGAAATGATCTGTCTTTTCGTTTAAGCCCCAAACAGATAAAGAGCTTAAGCTAATATTATATAACAGACGATATCTGGACTTCTTATTTCTATTCTAGAACATTTGGCCATACTTTCTTGTTGGTCGGCAAGGACGCTTAATAATAATGAAATAAAAGAGTTATTTTCCTCGCTGTGAGCCCAAACCAAGAAAACTTAAGAACTCTCAGATCATCAGCTTAGATTGTTTCTTTGCTGGTTTTGTCTTTTCACACCATCAGAGTTTCTGCCCTTTTGCACACTAGGCTCCATGATGTTTACTCCTTAGGAGACGTATGAGGAAAGGAAGCGTCTAAATTTAGATGAACATTAGCATTTGGATTTGGGATCCTTAACCCTTTGGGAGTTGGTCCTTTTATTTAACAGTAAAAAATAAAAACATGATAATGTAGTAATGATAAAGATAATGGGAGGTTTGGGTAAAAACCAGTAGTTCCTTATGTTAGACAGGGTTCCCTAGAGAAACAAAACCAGGACACTTATGATTTCAGATATATTTATATAGATAGATATATACAACATAAGAAATAAATAGCTAATTAGTCTACAGAGCAGTACAAATGTCTCAGTGTAACTCACTTCCATGAGACAGCCAATACACTGGCAGTCCTTCAAGTCTTGAGGGCCACCGGAAGCAAGTCAAGGAAGCAGACAGCTGAGTCCTCTGTAGACCAATTCAGGCTCTCTGGCCACAGACAGCAAACAGCAAGGCAGGTCCCCAATAGTCAGCCAAATGACAAGGTCTGATAGTTCCCAGTTCAAACAATGTATACCGAAGTAGCATGGCGAAGCAGGTCTTGAAGGAACCTCAAACTACAGTGACACAATCCACAGTTAGGTGTCCCACAGGTAGTGTAGCTTGCAAATTGAGGCAGAGAACCAGCTAAGGCAGCTACAGACTGGTCCGGTCATCAAAGAGCAAGAGACAAGAAAGGCGAGGGTCACCGAGCCATTTATCTCTCTGCCCTTCAATTAATCTCACATGTGTTCACTGGCCAGGTTGGCACAATAAACCTACCTACCACATTCCTACATGGTCCAGCACATACTTCATTGTTCAGTAAGCATGTTTTGGGACAGCTTTAACATTAATGTTGGTGCATATTGTCGCTGTCGGTTCGGTTACCATTGAGTCAAATCGGCTCATAGCAACCTTTGTGGGCAGAGTAGAACTGTGCTCTGGTGGGTGGGGGGGGGGCGTGTTTCAAGGCGCTGACCGTTTGGATTGCCAGGCCTTTCTTCTGAGTTACCTCTGGGAGGGTTTGAACTGCCAGCTTTTCAGCTAGTAGTTGAGCACTCAATGGTTTGTGCTACCCAGGGATTTACTGATGTATATTAGGGAAAGGAAATGTTTTGGACATTTGCACATAATATTTATATTGCACATTAAGCATTGCACATAATATTTATATTGCATATTAAGCATTGCACATAATATTTATAAAAATCTACCCTTAAAAACTACCAAAGACACTTGCTTGGAATGATCATTTTAATGAAGGAGTCAGCCTTGAGAAAGTTTTTACTTTGTTATTGTTATTTATTTGTTTGTTTGTTTGTTTGTTTGTTTGTTTTGGTGAAGCTGAATAATGCAATACATTTGGAAGACACAGTTTTGGTTGTTTGTTTCTTTTTTTACTAACTTTTTGGACAGGAACTGGGCATGTTCTGAAAGTAACAGTTTCAAGGAAGTATTTATGAAAATGAATCTTTTCAACAGCTGAAATATTTCCCAACTTTCTTTTCCCCACCAATGTTTGTCTTTGCTCGAAGCATTTAGAACTCAGAATGAAGCAGGTCCTTTCTTTGGGTCTGTGGAAGCAGTAAGTCCCTGGGCAAAGCAGACAGACCATGCTGTCCTATGGATGTGGCCCAAGGGGTTGCTTCTGCCAAACTGTGGGGTTGAATGCCAGTAACTGAAATAGCTGAGCATATGTCAAGATCGAAGGACAGAACTTGGAGGGTTTACGGTCATGGGTTAAGAAACTCTCCCACAGACCTGTGTCAAGAAAAAAATCCACACTTCAGTTGGACCCCCTGGTTGCTCTGAGATATTCTGTCTGTCATACAGATATTATTTGTCCAGGCGTATGCTAATAGAAAGAGGCACTCAGCTAATGTTCTCTATTCCAAAAATGAACTTCCAAAAACTTACTCTAACTGTAAAAGTTCCTTTTGGGAACAAGTGTGATTCCACTTATATGAACCATCTAGAATAGGCATGTGGGTGATAGGGGAAAGGGAGAGATGCATTGCTTAGGGGATGCTGAAGTTCTGCTAAAGGTAATGGAAAATTCACCCAGATAATAGTTGGACAACATGGTGAGTATAATAATTACCATTGTCTCTGGATTATATGCAGGAAACATGCTGGAATGGCTAACAATGTGTTGTGCTGCATTTGCTACAATAATTTTTTAATTTTTGGATGGGGTTTTTTTTATGCTTCTGCGATGTTTATGTCAAAAGAACCCACTTGATTTCTTTTGCCTCATGTTCATTTAGCACAAGATTTTTGTAAACACTTTAAGCTAATGGCCATGAAGCTTGGAAATAGAATATGAATCATGGATCCTCATTTTCAATGGACATGTGACCACAGGGTGGGGAATGTCCACTATGATTCCTTAAGACTTGGCCAGCTGTGTTCAAATCTTAGCTGCCCTCCTTACTGACTCTGTGACCTTGAGTGAGACAGTTAAGCACTCTGGAGCTATGTGTTCTGATGTGACCGTGGGGCCACACTATCTACTTCCGGATTATTGTAAGGATGATGTGGTATAAAAACGGGCACAAAACCAGCACTCCATCAATTGAAAGTACATACAATTCTTGCTGTCAGTGAGCTTTCAACAGACATTTACCTCTCACACCTCTTAATGTTCCTCACCCCTTGACCATTCTCTATATTTAGCTAGCTTCGTCTGGGGAGTAGTGTTGAAAGGCAGTAAAATGTTGATTCCATAACGCCTCTCCTCTACCTAGAAGTCTTAACTTTGTTTTTCTTGTTGTGGTTGTTAGGTGCCATCAAGTCAGTTCTGACCCATAGGGACCTTACGCACAACAGAACATAACACTGCCTGGACCTGCACCATCCTCACAATGGTTCCTATTGGTGGAGCTCATTGTTGCAGCCACTGTGTCAATCCGTCTCCTGAGAACCTTCCTCTTTTTCGTTGTCCCGCTACTTTACCAAACATGATGTCCTTCTCCAGGGACTGGTCTCTCCTGACAACATGTCCAAAATATATAAGATGAAGTCTCACTATTCTTGCCTCTAAGGAGCGTTCTGCCTGTACTTTCTTCCAAGATAGATCAGTTGGTTTGTCCTTTCAGCAGTCCATGGTACTTTTGATATTCTTCCCCGGCACCACGGTTCAAATGCATCAATTCTTCTTTATTCATCATCCAACTTTCACATGCATATAAGACAATTAAAAATGCCATGGCTATCCTATCCAGATAGGCTGGATGAACAATCTGGAGGAGAAAACAACGGACCGAAAGTTCCGGGGGGACATGTGGGAGGGGGAGGGAAGGGAAGAGGTGTTAACAAACCCAGGGACAAGGGAACAACAAGTGATCCAAATTGGTGGTGAGGTGGGGGTGGGAGACCTGGTAGGGCATGATCAAGGGGAATG